TAGGTTTCATACGAAAATATGAACTTCCAGCGGACGCTGCGTCGTTTTTACGCGCCGGAAGTTGAAGTAAATCGGCGAATGATCGATTGACGGTAATTCAGAAGAAACGTACCGCCGATAAAACAGATATGTACGTTAACGCGCCTTGATACAGCGCGGCGGGATGAGGAGACGTGTTGGTTGCATAGAAGTAGGAGTAAAAAAAATGTATAAGATTTTTTTCTAATAAATCTGTACAGCCAAAAAGTTTTTCTAAACGTCGAAGAAAATGTAATTGTTGGTAAGAGATTTTAATGGATGCTTTTCGTTAATCTTTAATATTTTGCTAATTAATATTTGAATTCGGTGTTCGTTAAAAGCAAAATCCAATGTTACTGCAATTATCTGAAAAATAAGATGATAAAAAGTAATACACAAATTTAAATAAACATGGATTACCTTTCACGTAAAATTATGTACTAAAAAGATTTGTAGAAAATAATTCTATTGACTTTTGTAATAGAGTAGAATCGAAATATTAAAATTTTTGTAAACAAATATACATTTGGTAGAATGTCAGTTATATAATTACAAGATACAACTCGCAACCTTCATCTTTATAGTAACAAATAATCTCGTTATTGTCGTTGGGGTACAAAAATAAAAAATTAAGCTCGGTATCCTTGCAGCTCTGCCTTCTTTCCGCTCTTCTTTCTCTCCTGCTCTATAGTGCTACATGGCTTATACATAGAGATACAGCAATACAGAGTATTTTTACAAAGTTATATCTGTAAAACTGGTTGCAAGTTGGAAAACATATTCCTTTAATTGATCGTACAACTATTTATGTTTATTTCTATTTCCTTAGACTTAATTTTATCATTGTTTTTCTTTGTTACTAGAGCTTTTTCTCTTCTCCCTTTTGTAGAATATTTATGAAAGACGAAGAGACATTAGCAAAAAGTTCTACCAACGATCTCACAAACGATGTCCGAGATGTCGTATTAAAATATATTTACTGTTAATCTTCGTGACACGCGCGCGTGTCCTCCCGTCAAGTCAATAAAAATCGACCCACATACGAAAACGGAATATCGGAGCTCGCGCGGGGATACCGTGGCCGGTGGCAGGAGAGGCCCCTGAGAGATGCGTGGGCCCGACACGTCCGCCTGGTCCCAATGCCGGTCAGTCGGCTATCTCGGTCCCCGGTGTTAGCGCGGACGTGCCCCCGCGACTACACGCCGCACCGTCGGGGAATGCGTTTTCGCGAGCGTCGGTGGATCCGAAGGCGCGATTATGCCATCACGCTACCATGGGATATTTGTCTTGTGTATCGCCACGGTAGCATCCTGTCCGCCGGCGGGGGGACGGTGCTCTGTCTGGCGCGCACTAAGTAGCGTAAGCGTGCTGCTCACCTTGCCGGAGATGACGCGCCAATGGTCGCTCTTAGGACTGAATATCTGGCCGAATCACGCGGCGGATAAGCCGACGTCTAACGAACTCCTCGAACGTGACGCGACTCGATTTTCCCGGGGTGAGTAGACGGGAGTGCGGCGGTTACGAGCGACGTAAAAAGAAATTGAAGAGGGGCAACGGGGTGTATCGGTATGTCGGCGGCGAGTTTTAATAATTCAAAATACGACGCCACCGCAACGCCGCGCGATGGCGATCGCGTACGTATATTTGAATACTGTAAACTGACGTTGGCACACTCGCGTACTCCTACTTTAAAGCTGAGGAAAATTGAGGAGAATTTCGCGGAGAAAATTCCCGTGGCTCCTTTGCGCGACAGCATTCTTGGGCATTCTTGGTTTGCCGTCGCGCGTTTGCTTTCTGATTTCAGAGAAAGAGAAAGAAAGAGAGAGAGCGAGAGAGAGAGAGAGAGAGAGAGAGAGAGAGAGAGAGAGAGAGAGAGAGAGAGAGAGAGAGAGAAGAGACGTAAATGAAAGAATAAACGCTTCTCCTCGCGGCGCGCAGGCAGTTTTACGAATTTTGCAAAAGCACTTCTCCGAACGTGTTCCCTGCATATTGAATGATGCATATATAACGGATGATAAATTGTATAATGCAGTCGTTCCACAAATAATTGCGCAAAATACTATTCGCCGGTTCTTGACGGTAGTTTTACTATCGAGCTACTTGCTTTGACCTCCGCCAATGCAGTCTTGTTCATTAATGCCTGGACCTGTATTTTTCTCATCATTTTTCTCATCTATGCAAATCACCGAGTTTCAGACTTCTATTGAAGCTGTGTGAACTACAGCCTCAATAGAAGAGGAAACTCATCGATGCGTAGATGGGAATAAAGATTATGAAATTGTGAATCCTGGTAAAACTGAGGTCCAGGCGTTAATGAATAAGACCGTGCGTGTCGTTTCTCGCTTTTAATATTTTTACGACAGAATTATTATTTTTTTAAATAGAACACTGGCACACCCCGAGAAACCACTCTCTAAAAGTCAATCAGTGGGTTATCACTGAAAGCAGTGAATATTCACTGATTTACAGTTAGAAGTATAGCACTAAATAATTCAGTGCTATACTTATAACTGTTTTCAGTGATAATCCACTGGATTCAGAGAGCCAGAGGGGTAAAAAGTGTAAGTGGAACCTGTACATATCCCAGTGATCACGAAAGGATTAAAGAAATTCAATTGATCACTCGCTGCACTCGAGTCGATTCTCTAATAGCGAATTCGGTTGCTTGCACTAGTGCGCACACAGTGCACACTAAGGCTTATTTATAGCCAATTCTTATACTGAAAGCTAAGACCTAACCCCTTGAAATATTTCTTATCCAGAAAAATGGTCTGTGAACAGCGTTCACATGGATAATTTTTTTGAACACTCTTTGAACACTAGACACTCTTTGAACATGTATTTAAGGCAAAGTTAAATATAAGAATTGACTATAAACAAGCCTAAGTGTGCACTCAGTGCGCACTAGTCGCAAGCAATCCGAATTCGCTATGGGGAATCAGGTGAAAGCGATTGAAACAATAAAGTTCGACTTTTACATTATTTTTATTATTTTTCCCCGAGAAGCCCTTTTTCGAATGCAAACGTAAAGCATTGGCATTCAAGTGAAGAGAGGCGCCAGGCGCACTGTAAATAAATTCACATTATTCCGCTGAAAGTTTACATCTGCGGATGTTTGCCGGATTACTCGCGTAACCAGAGTAGCGATCGTACACATATATACTTTTCCCCGAGGGGGAAACCGCTGAGGGCATTGTGGTGTACAGATTTGCGGCATTACTGGGCATTACTAGGCACTTTTTGGGCATTAGTTTGGGCATTAGGCCTTACTGGGGCATTATAAAGATAAAATAAGATAAAACAAGATAAATAAGATAAAGTAAGATAATAAGATCAAGCAATGCTGGGCATTAGTGGGCATTGGTGCACAAGATTTTGGTCAGCGGTTTCCCCCTCGCTTTTCCCTCAGAGTGGAAACATGAAAAGTGAAAAGTTTTACGCGAATATAATAATTTCATTGGTCGAAATAATTGAGTTCGCGTGAAATTTTTCACGTGGAAAATTGTTGGGTCGACGCACAAGTCCCTCCCGTTTTCAAACAAAAAGTTTCATACCTATTACATTTTGTCGATATACACTTAAACAGCGATATATGCAATCTCGCGAGTTGTTTTATAACGATCAGTTTCAATCAAGGCCAAGATTTCGTGATTGTCAATTTCGGGAGGCCGTCCGGAACGTATCTCATCCGTGAAATTAAAATTTCTATTACGAAATCGTCGGAACCATTTGCGAACGGTGGAATCGTCAATGCATCTTCCCCGCAGAACGGAACGTATTTTTCTTCTGGTCTGAACAGCAGTTTTGCCTTTTCGAAAGTAAAACAGCACAGTATGCCGAAAGTGATGCTCATTTTTATCCAACTTTATAAAATTTACGCGGCTCGCAAACGCCAATCGACGACAACAATTAAATCGGACAGTAAAGTTTCCGTTCAAATCGCTACTTTGAAAAGTTTAATACGTCATATAAGTGCGAAGTTGATAGCAGATCGGATTCGTATATAAAGTGCGCGAATGTTTAAACGCGGGACGAACTTTGCATCAACCCGATACACGATCGCCACCCTATTTACCTATTGCGCGTTCGTTTGCACTCCTGTAATCCGCGCCGCGAGAGCGAGATCCGATCCGGAGGGTGACCGTGACGCGTGCGACGGAATTTATTTTTTTTTGTTACCTCCCCAGTTTATTCGACTCGTTTCACGCTTATCCGCAGTGCTGAACTTCTTTCCCGTTCCGGTCGAGGAAGAGTGCCTGTCCGAGGACAAACGACGTCAGGGAATATGCATGAATACATATGAGTGCCGCATTCAGCGCGGGCAATCTCACGGACCGTGCGCGCTCGGTTTCGGCGTGTGCTGCATATGTGAGTATACCTGTCATTCGTACACGTGAATATAACTTGTCATGCGCGTCATCGTAAGGCGATATCGCGAGACCCAGCCGGAGAGGACCTGCCGGAGCGCGCCGATGCATTCCGCTCGCGGGAGAAAAACGATCTCGGTGCGCTCTTTTCCGTGCCGTGTCCTATCCTACGTGTTCCCAATTCCTAATAAAATCGACACAAAGACGTCGCGCTAGTTTTCCCGCACTCGGTTCTTTTCACGCGCAGAGAAATGCCCGGCTTCAAGTATACGCGTCCGCAAAATGTACGGAGGCAAGTCCCCCGTTACGAGATAGGATTCTAATATGAGATAGTGGGTCTTCAACGTCCACATTCAATCGCGAATCTTTTTTTCGCGACGGTCACACGATCCAACGATCAGTTTTTCCCTTGAGGAAATTTACTTCAAATGGAATTGAAGGTTTTAAAAGTAATCTGTCAGATCTAAGAGTTTACTGGAAGAGATTAAAAGTTTACTTGAGTAATTATAGGGGACTTTCCTCTATTTTTTTCCCTAGCGCACAGTGCATTGACTAAACATTGGACCAATGTCGGTCATGTTAGAAATCCATTGGCCGATATTGTCCAACGTAAAGCCAGTATTGGCCATGGGAAAAATGTAAATATTGCACGATAATAATTATGTAATATTAGATTTGTATTGGAAGTGCATTAACCAATATTTAACAGTGTAATAAGAATTTGGTCTAACATTGATACAATATTAGACCAATGTTGCTGAATAGACATTGACTAAATGAGAGAAGGCGTCCATCTCACAATATTCGACCGATATTGGGAATACTAGATTTATATTATTTTCCAATATCGCGCCAATATACTGTGCTACTAGGGTTGTATTTAAGCATAACTGAGTGGTCCTATTGTTCTTCTTTACATAATTTTTTCCTCCAGACTGCGACGTTTCGTCGTTGAAAAATAAAGCGGGAGATATACTTCCAATTAGAGGTTGCGCGTTTATTTTTAGCTTCTAAAGATGCGATTGTGCGAGCGCGATTTCCGCGCCCACGTCGTCGATTCGACGCCGAATCGATCAGCTTCGCGCTTTTCTGCCAGGTTTAACGGTATCAGGATAGCCGGGCGTGTAGCTCTCCGAGACGATCTCAAGCAGCACGCTCTCCTCGATAGCGTGAAAGGGAGCACTTGAGGAAGGAAAGGTAAAAAAAAAAAGGAGGAAACGGTACGCTCTTACCCGAGAGCTCGCGCGACGAGGAAGAACTTGAAGGCCAGGTTATACAGTTACTTAATTGCCTTTCGGCGCGGTTACTAGCCTCACACCGCGCGAGGTCCACCGTCTCCACACTTGTTCGCGTCAGCTTTCAAACAATTCTCAAATATAACCATATGCGTGACCCAAATCCTCTAAAGTTGCGAATATCGCGATGCTTCGCTGCCGCATGTAATTGATGTAATGCCAAATGTAGGACCAAATATAGGAAAGTCACAGGCCAAATGCGAGCAACAATAGCTAATAATAATAATGTTATCAAAAATGTGTTCAAAATTTATTGTCAGAAAACGATATGTGTGCGTATACACGGAATTTTCTTTTAAACTGTATCCTGAAAATCGTGTAATCGTGGGACAACACGGCATTTCGAAAAATGTTATGAGTTTTTCGAAATTTTACCATACATTTCACTAGTAATACATTTACAATTAGCATACGTTTTACTACACTAATAAAAGAGGATCTTAATCCAAAAAAATATTACTTTACTCGAGAAAATTATTCATTAGGTGGCTCTTAATAGCTTATTAACTTAAATTTAAAAAATAATAAACAAATTGAAACATGTATTTCTTTAATTTAAGTATTTATTAAATATCGAACAGTAGATAATTTTAAATTACAAAAATTTTGCTTTAATTCTATAAAATTTCCTCCGCGTACGTTTCGGCTTGCTCGTCATCGAAATTGCAATAAAGTTAAAATTAACGTAGTATCAAAAGTTAAACGTTGCGAAAAGTGTATACTTACTATATGTCATTATAAAACAAATATTTTTCCCAAACTCTGTAACAATAATTAAGCGTATAGTTAAAATAATCGTTGGAAAACTCATTAATCGTCTTCAGGCGAGAAAGTTGAGCCCGAAGGTGAGAATGTCAATTATTATACAATGTAAAACTTATTGTCCAATTGATTATGTAGTCCAGTGTACAATCAATCTCGGTAATGCTGTGAATGTTGAAACGAGGTGGAATTAAAGTCTGACAGATTGCCTTCAGCCTTTTACCGAGAGCAATGCGAGACATGTGTAAAAGGACTGTTGGAATTATATGTCTTCTAAGCGCGTTACATTGTGAAATTTCTTATTTCACGGACACGTTACGTGCCGCGAAAATATATATATTTATCTCACCAGCGATAAATTTCTCGGGAAACTTGGGCTCAATTTCTCACATTTCGCAAAATCCACTTGAAATTTGTCGAAAGGTGGACGTCGCCGCGCGTATTTCCAGCTCTAGAATTTCCCTCGTCCGAGCGCTTGAATTTTCAACGTTGGACTTAACAACTTTGCAGTTGGCCGCCGTATTAAATTCTCATTAAGGGAAGGCACCGGCTCGAAATTCGTTAAGTAATGCACCGTTTATGTACATTAACGGCGATTATGACAAGACACTCTGCGGGCGCGTAGCACAGGATAAATTTAGCCTGCAGAACTTATTTATTTCTAAAGAATTTAATGCCGGTCCACTTGAAAAAAGAAAAGAAGAGAAAAATCTCCTCGAATTACGGCCCCATTGTACGCCCAACAATGTCAATTTTCTTTACGAGGGGATGAGGTAATTTAATGAAGCTAAAGTCGAAATTTCACAGCGTCATTCGCGGGTACGTCCCGATGGCGATTGAATTTTTTACTATAACGAGCGTCTTCGCCTTTACTTTATGCCGCTACCTAAAATTTACGTCTCATGTAGCGCGGAAAAGTTTCTTATTTGCCGGCCCGAGACCACCTTCCGTCTCTGTTTTATGTCGAGTCCCTCGTCCAATCGCTCCTGCTTGCTTTTTATTCGGTCCGCATCCATTCGCCTTTTTCCGCCACGGTGCATGGCTACTGTATGTACAGTCGAAAACAGGGCCATACCGTACGTACGGATTCTTGACCGATTTTCCGAATACCACTTCTCGCTGTGCGTCCGTCCCGCGCATCTCGCGTCCGTGCTCCTCCTCGGCGCATCTTGGAAGTCCGCGTGTTTCGCTGCCGGCCCGGGTGCGTCATCTCGCACAATTTAATATCGCGAAATTCGATATGCGTTACGAAAGGCAGACGATGCATATGCGCTTTACGAGCGAATTTACGAGAGCCGTAACGTGAACAAAATAAATTTCTAATGCTCTCATGGTCAAAGACATGGACGTGACCTTTAGCTATAAATAGCTCCCCGCAGTTTTATGGGATTAAAACGGCAATTATGTAACGGACGGCGGGCGACAATCCTAAAGAATATATACGCGATGTGTACGTTTTTAGGTGCTGGCACTTTATAACTTGTCCGTCCCGGAAGTCTGCCGATCCACGTGGTTTATCGGAGCGAATCTCGCGCGTCTCGGGACGCGTCCGCGTTCTCCTTTCATCGCGATGTCCAACGTTCAATTTCAACGTCTAAAAGTTGCAGCCTCAAGGAAAGAGGAGGAATGAGCAATTGCGAGTTCGTCCAAGAGAATCTTCGGTCTACAATGTGCGTCTAGAAACATTCTATTTCGCAGCTAATAAAAATATTAAAACTTTTTCACAAATTTATAAATTGCACATTGTACAATCGTACGTTGTCTTTGATTTGCTCACATTGTATAGAATGTTTCTGCACGGAGAGAAGTTTCTCTTAAAATTTATCCTGAAAACCGTGTAAGTCGTGGAACAACGTGGCGTTTTAAGGAAATTTATGAGAGTTGTTTGAAAGTTCGTCCGAAAGAATCTTCAGCCTTTACAATATGCTCTTTGCGTCTAGAAACATCCTATTTCGCAGCTAATAAAAACATTAAAACAGTTTGACAAATTTATAAATCACACATTGTACAATCGTACGTTGTCTTTGATTTGCTCACATGGTATAGAATGTTTCTACACGGAGAGAAGTTTCTTTTCATCCTGAAAAACCGTGTAAATTGTGGGACAACGTAGCGTTTTAAGGAACTTTATGAGAGTTTTTTGAAAGTTCGTCCAAGAGAATCTTCAGTCTTTATAACATGCTCTTTGCGTCTAGAAACATTCTATTTCGTAGCCAATAAGTACGTTTAAAAAATGTGTGCAAATTAATACACTGTGCAGTATATATTGTACAATCGTACATCGTCTACAAGTTTTTAAGCGTTTTAAATTGCTTACGTAACATAGAACGTTTCTACACGAGGAGAATTTTCTCTTAAAATTTATCCTGAAAACCGTGTAAATCGTGGGACAACGTGGCGTTTTAGGGAACTTTATGAGAGTTTTTTTGAAAGTTTACCATACTTTTTACTAGTAAAATGTACACTAAGTATAATTACTAGTAAAATGTATGGTAAAATTTAAAAGACTCATAAAATTCTTTAAAATGCCGTATTGTCCCACGATTGCATGATTTTCAGGGTAAATTTTAAGAAAAAGTTTTCTGTATTAAATATAACATCAAGATCAGCTGTTGTCAATTTATACACGGACAGAATTTTCTCTTAATCATGAAAATCATAGAATCGCGGAACAGCACGGCGTTTCGGAGAATTTTATGAGAGTTTTTGAAATTTTACCATACATTTTACTAGTAAAATTAAAAAAACTCTTATAAACCCTAGCGGATAAATTTCTATAATATAAATAACTACAAAAAATTGACTTGAAATATAAATTTGTAGAAATTTTTATATCTTCGTTGAAACATTAATTTTTTTGTAAAAATAACTACGAAATAATACCACAAATTATGTTCTCAAATCAAGAAATTATTGCAAGTAGTATTTCATGAAAATGTACAATTTTGTAAAAATTAGTACAAAACTTTACTAGTTTTAAAATTTTGAGAGACAATATAAAATCTTAAAGACTTAAAACATCTGCTTACTTGTAGAATATTCCAAAAATTAACTAAATAAGTGTTCCAATTCTAGCATTTTCACGTTAATTTTTATAACGCTTTTTAAATTTACGTAGAATCTCTTAGATTCTGGCAGTATATCTTTTGTAGAATTTCGTAGAATTATTTCCGGCAGGGAAGTTCTTAAAAATTCCATGTTGTTCCACGATCACGTGATTTTCAGGGTGAATTTTAAGAGAAAATCCGTGCGGACGCAAAGAGCACATTGTAGAATAGGCTTTAGAATTAAGGTCGAGAATTCTGAGATATCCCATACCGTGTTGACCCACACAAGTGAGGCCCCGACGCCGTGTATAAGCGGACGCGCGCGCGCGTGTGTATTTGTGCACGCGTACGCAAATATACATATACGGCGCGTGTGTGGTAAACGTTCGCGCGCTCGAAAGCCACCTCTGCCCACCTCCCGGCTGTTTGTGCTCCTCTCATTGAATGCGCGTAGCCGGCAACCGCGACATCAGCCGCTCATGCATTTTTTACGTTGCCCACCAAGCTGTCCCTCCCGTTCCTCCTCCCTCGCCGCGCCGCGGAAGGAAGTAAGATCTACACGCGAGGAGGCAGCGAGCGTTTCTTCCAGCCGCGGCTGGAAGACAACCGTAGCAACCTATAAAAGACAGTTTTTCTTAACATACGAACGCATGAAAAAGGTTAAAATATGCTGGAATCGTAATTGCTTTTCCTTTTGAAAGATATGTTTCCAATTTATATTTTAAATGTATTTTAAAAACTTTTTTTAAGGACCGTGAACAATGTACATCCTATTTACAACGATGTCTAAATAAAAACAGGGATATACAAGATTGATTATATCTTAGAAACGATTGAGTCTTCGACTTATATTTATTATGACTTTTTTACTCAATACTATGTGCATCATCTACTGTATGCATAAATACTGAATATTTCAAAAGGGAGAGAAATTACAATTCCAGCCTGTTGTAACCTTTTTGCTGTGGGGAAAAAAAGACAGCAGCCCATTTTGGGGCCCCACAATTAGCGATCGAATTATTTGGATTGTTCGTAGCGCTAATCTTTTACGAATTTTACCCCGCGTAACTAAAAATCGCAATTAGCTATTCTATCTACATCCAAGATTTTGAAGTAATACTAATCAATTCCCTCAATTAGTTCTGTCGATATTCAGTAACGCAAGGATAATTTTCACCTAAGAGGCACTAACTGAAAAGTTGCCTAACTACCAAAAATCGGTCCAAATTTTTCCCAGAGTCGAGTGTCGCGAACAATCCAAATAATTCGATTACTAATTGTGGGCCCCAAAATGGGTTGCTGTCTTTTTTTTCCCCCCAGAGCGATACACTTCCTTTTATAGGTTGCTAAGGTTGTCGAAAATGTCAGAAAACGTTCAGATATATTTACAAGTTAGTGGGAATCAAGTTGGAATCACTTGCGATGGCAAATTTGACCAAGAAGAGGTGCCGTCCATTCAAACGGAGCCTTGATTCCACCGTGAGCCGGCGTGGCGCGGCGGGCCGTGCTGAATAGCGTCTTGAGATTCTAAAACGGTCACCTGAATGCCTGAATGAGAACTCGTTATCGAAGCCGGAGGCTGTTGGTGAGAATAACGCGCGGCGACGCCCACCGGCGGATACTTGGCGAAAGTGTTAGAATGTCTGGCATTCGCGTTTAATCCGTCCGCGCGCGGACGTGAATTTCAAACAGGAAATTTCGGCGAAAACCCGGGCAGGCCGTCCCCGGTTTTTCTCGTTTCCCGCGATTAAACCAGCGACGCCGATCCGCGTTCTTCCCCCTCGCGTCGGGATGAAAAGAAGTTTATGAATTTTCGAAACACGTCGCGCGGGATATGAAGTCATTTAACGTACAATACGTTCGAGGGGGAGGAAGTGGGGTATAAATGATGCGAAGTATAAAAAGTTTGCGCTGGGTATTCCCCGCGAGAGCCAAGCCAACTCAGGTGTCTGATTTCCCACTTAACTTTAGAAGGCTAAGCATTGTTAGCTTGAGCTTTAAACGCCCGAGCGTCGATAGCTTTAAACGTTCGGATTCATTAATCGTGCATTCGTTTAATTATGGACGTGATCCTTCATAGGATATAATCCTTAACTGCGCACGATATATTTTAACGGGTTTAACGGCGAACGCGTTAACTCGCTCGGTCTCCGTTCGGTGATCGGCGGCAAGTGCGGGCCAATTCCGCGCGTGGCCTCCGTGCGCGTTTTCCTCACGGCTAATTAAATATTCCGATGCGTACGAGACGTAAACGCTCCGGCGCGCGCGAGTATTTCGTTAACTGTGTCAGCAATTAATACGGTTTGCAGTCACGGCAAGCTGCGACAGTGAGGTACAGAATAATCTGACCTACGTGACCAGTCCTGGTTTTCCCAACCTCATCGACCGGCCTATGAACTGCACGGTGGTTGTACGGAAGATCGATACGGAGGTCAGCCAGTTGAGGATCGACTTCGTCCATTTCAACATTGTAAGTCTCAGGGATGCCTTATTATTATAGCGTTATCTACTGGGAGTAGACCGGGGGGGAGGCTAGTTGCAACTGTCGATTTCCCGAGTGCGCTTTAGTACATCTAATATTCCGCGAGTTGTCAAGACAATGTCGATACTAACACGACGTGCGAATGAAGCGCCCGTATCTTCTTCTCGAAAGACCCGACGTTAATTTCACTTCGTATTATTTGGGAATCGGCGTTGTCGGTATTGCTGAAGTATCTTCACCGGTGTCATTTTTCATGTATAAACTCACACTGACAGAAACAAACTGGTTTCAGCTACCACGATCTCACTATAATTTATAGTCATTTTATGAGCCAACCACATTTTTATAATTCCTCCAACTACGTAAGTTACGGTTGACCTAACAATGTTTTATAGTTCTCGTAGACACAATATTGGTCCATGCAACTTACGATATGGTTGTCATAAATCAAAACGAGCTCTTAATTTGGTAAGGTGTACTATAAATATTGCAGTAACAACCACAAGTAAAATTTCGAATCACTATATGTAATAGCAATAATCGTAGTTGTATTGCAAGTAATATTCCACGCTTTTTATTGCATTACCTGGATATTTTAACGGAACAATAGTTAAAAGCTTATCTTTTATAGTATTTTTTTTAAATAGTTGACATCACTGCGTCTATATGGTTGCGATTACTAATATTATAGTAATAATTACTATAAAAATAATATTCCCGACTATAATTATTTTACTATGCAATTATAGTTTCAAATACTACATATTTTTCTATCAGTGCACATAGCAATGCACGTCTAAAAAATGTCTTTGAGACACTTTTTAGACGTACATGTCTAAAAGACAACTTAATGCCGTCTTAAAGATGTCTTTTAGACATGCATGCTATCTGGGAATATGCTACAGTTTAATATTGATTTTATTACGAATGAATTTAAGTGGCGAGAGAGAGAGAGAGAGAGAGGGGGAGAGTGAAAGGGGGGAGGGAAGAAGAGGGAAGGAAAGAAAATTGAACGAAGTAATCAAGAAACAAATTGTTTATTAGTTTTTACATTTTGAGCTAAAATAAAACGCACGAGTAATTTGTTCGAAAAATTAAAATAGTTAACGGTCAAACGCTCGCTACATGTAATAACAAATGTACAAGAGTCACCAAAAAGAAAAAAAATCGAACGAGCAATATAAGATACTGCGCCATTACAAATCTGTAGTTTATTGTCTGATAGTAAACTGAAGATTGTGTACGTTTCGACTTCGCTGGGTCTTCTTCTCGGCATAATAATTAATAAGACAAATAAGAATAAGTTACACACTCTGTAAAAGTCAATCAGGGCATTATAACTGCAATGAGAAAAAATATCCGATTACATACAGTCGAATAATCCCATTACATAATAAAAAAAACAGATATGTCCGATTGAATTGTGTATCCGATGAAAAATATGATCGGTTTTTCGATTCAATTTCATCGGGCATATACATAATTTAATCGAAAAAGTTGATCGGAAAAATTAACCATCGGAAACACTATTTACTTGGTTTATCCGATGGGAATTTTTCTCAGTGTGTTAACATACTGAGTAAAAATAACTTGATGAATAATTCGTTTGAATTAGCGATGTCGAATCGCGGAAGTATGCGAGGCGGAAAGAAGAACTGGAAAAAAAAGAGTGTTTCTCTAAAGTCACGCGGAACTGAAAAATGTTGTAGGGTCAGCCAAACGCCGTGACCGGCATGTGCGACGGAGATGTCATGGTAATTAACAATAACAGGACGTCTCTCGAACTGTGTGGATGGAACAGCGGGCAACACGGTGAGTGCTACTCAATTATTCCACGAGCTCCCGTAACCGTAGTACCGTGAGTCTAAAGCGTTAAAATTCGTTCCGCGGGTCACCTCGGGCACGTGCGCGCGTTCCAAGCAATTTAAATAGCACGGGCTGTGCTCTGTGTATCCCGACAGTGTACGTGGACGTGGGCGAAGGCGACGAACCAATCACTTTAAACTTCCGGCTGCCGAGCGGGCTGCAGCCACGAATGTGGGAGATGCGGGTGGTGCAACTGGGTTTCGAGCAACGCGCTCCGGTCGGGTGTCTCCAATACTTTCTCTCGTCCAGCGGCACGCTGAGGACATTCAATTACCTCCCGAACGGCAGATACCTCGCCGAACGCGACTACCTATTATGCGTTCGTCAGGAGAGGGACATGTGCGGTATCGCTTATCAGCCCTGCACGCCAAACTCTTTTCGGATAGGTCCCGGTAGGCCTCAGGACACGTCCAACGCGACCGGCAACGTCGTGCCCGCAGCGATCGCCACGAACGGCGGAAACGCCTCCGCTGTCGATCTAAACGTCGCTCCCGCAAACGGTCTCGACGCGGACGTCGTCGAGGGATCGGGTGCGGGATCACCCGACCAGGAAATGGCTTTTACTCCCAGCACGAATTCGGTCCAGCCCTTCCTCGGGAGACGATGCAGGGACAGGATACTCATTCCTTGCGATTTTGAGGAATTTATCACAGTACGTCGCGTTTCAGAGAATTTTTTTTCCGTTATAATTAGGAAATCTCGGGTAATATATTTACCGCTACACGGAAAAAAATACTGTTGAATTGAAAAGAATGAAGTTGCTTGAATTAAGCGTTAACGTGGCTGACACGAACATTAATAATTCATTCAATTATATCTGCTACACTGATAAAATAATATCTTCATCCAAAAAGTATTACTTTACTCAGAAAAACATGCATTGCTTTAATTTAAGTATTTATTAAATATTAAAGAATAGATAATTTTAAATTAAATATATATTGTGCATTAATAAAAAATGTTATTTTAATTCTATAAAATGTTTACGAAGATGTAATTTTCACAGCGATGAAAATTGGATTTCTTATTTAACAAAAACAATTATTTCATTTAATAAATAGTATTCTATATCTAATGAAATCTTTATTTGAATGTAGAAAATGTAATGATTTAAATTAATGTACTTAATATAATACATGGATTTACTTAAAATTTGATAGTTTTCTTTAAATGAAATATTTCCTTCAATATAAAAAATTTAAGTAAATCTATTTACTTAGTTAAAAAAAATTTTTGTCAGAATGTTTTTCATTCATTAACATTGACGTTGAAACAACGATTTTATTTCAATTACATTGATCTTGTTGACACAACATTACTTTTTTCCGTGTACATCATATTATATGGTAATTATTTAGATTAACACACCCA